TCTTCAGGCACTAAGCACACCGAATGACTTCTCTCCACAACTACACTTGACCTGTCTTTTCAAACACTGATCAAGTGGGAGCACCTGGCCTTGAAGAGTTCATTTTTCATTTGCTTTACTTACATGAACTACACTGTTCTTCCAAAAAAACCAAGTCAAATAATTTCAACAGACAATATACATTTCAGGGTCATGTAATACAACCTCACACTGTGCAACACATGAAAGTAGGAAAATTTGTCTTACAGCAATAAATAATCATTATAATGTATGTTTTAACTGTAGGTACTTCTATAACAAAGAGATTTTGCAGGCTGGGATTAAGATATCCACTTTCTATCCAAATTTGACTGATCTCAGTATGAAATCCTTTTCATCTTTAGAAGTCATGCCATACAACCCCCATCAGCTCAGGATATACGGAACAGGATTTTGCAAAACCAGTAACAGGGATGCCAGCCATCAGCTTTGCATCTACACAGGCAACTCCACTTCCCTAAAACATTATAGGTTTACTCACCAAGTCATTACCAGTACAATAATGCCTTAGGATAGACTGCCCTCAGGAGGCCACAGTGAAATCTCTTCATGGGATACAACTGACTCACTCAGCATGCACCAAATCAGCCAACACTATACACTTCTGTTACCACAGTCTGCAAAAGCTGTTCCCCATCAGAGCTCCTCCTTACAGCTGCAATATCTAAAAAAAAATCCCAAACCAAAACCACCTCATGAACATTTTATGTGTCCTGCTACAAACTTTTACAGAGAATAATCACAGAATCACAGATGGCTTGGGTTGGAAGCAACCCTAAAGATTATCTAGCTGTAAGCCCCCTGCCATGAGCAGGGACACCTCCCACTAGACCAGGTTGCTCAGAGCCCATCCAGCCCATCAACTGCAACAGATGCCTCTAGAGCAAGAAAAGACTGTTTATGATAGACAGCGAGCTCACTACAGCAAAATCTAAATTACAAACATATTTCTTAAGAGATAAGCAAAAGTAAGGCTCCAATGACCTACCTAAGACAAAAGATGAACAAGAGTAATCCATCATTTTCCTAAACATTAGAAAAATACAGAGAAGACATACAAAACAATTAACTTTCTACGTCTACAATGTGCTTCAACTAAACCCCAGAACGTGCGTATCACACTACCTATGAACTTTGAACTGAATCAAACTCAAAGCCAAGAGAAGAACAATTTTAGGTTTCCTAATTTGGCAGTGACAAGGCAGGTCACAGAAATGAGTAAGTACTGCGGTACACAACCTTCTTTTAGCAAGGATATCCTCTCTGAAGCAGGAACCCAGCAGAGTAAAAACTCAAAGCAGTCATTATGGGTGAATCAGAAAGAGGGCTGCTGTATAAGAGGACTGCATGATGAATTAAATGACAGCTGCAAAAGCAGCTACCCTCAAAACCTGCCTTGATGGTCTCTTTAGAAATTCTGTGGTAGTAGTGAAAGGCCATCTACAAACCAGTGAAATGGGGTGGGGCAGGAGACAAGATGTGGAATAAAACACAGAGTAAGTTAAAGACCAGACTTGCACTGCAGCCTTCTTTAAATGCTCCCAAAACTAGATGGATGAGGCGAAGTTTCAATGTATGCCTGAAAAAACAGTTGTAGGAACAGGACTACAGTTCTTTAGAACTGGAGTAGTGGGAATCCATAAAATGCTTTATTCTTAAAGAGAAAAAAAGGCAAAAAATGCTAGTATTTAAGAGATTATAGGAGACTTTTAAGCAACATAGTGGGTGAAGAAACATTAGATGGATGAGAGCACATTCTCTCACTTCCATTAGGAATGGAATCACAGAAACTATATATAATATGATAGTGCACTGAAGTTTTCAAAATTCAATTGAATAATCATTGTAAGTCAGTCAAGTACAGTCTGACCCACAAACACCCATATGCAAAAAACCTCAAACATTTATATACAGCTTGGCATAAATGCCAGCAGCACAAAATGCAAAGCCCAAATGTCTGCTTTTAATCAAGGACAGTGACAAAACAGACATACCAGAAGTATGATGGAAGAAAGATTAAAAAGTAAGATATTGATGCAAAATATATAGAAGAGTCATAAAAATAAATATCAACATATTAAATCGTCCAATTAAACATGGATTGAATTTCCAAACCTAGCAAGGTAAACTCTGCTATTAGATGATACTGGTACTCACATCATGAAGATGGGTATGTATAGCCATAGCTATGACATCTGAGAAGTCTAAAGCCAGCAATGTAACTGTGATGACAGACAGCAGTCATGAATATATGTTGGATAAATGTCACACTGAAGAGGCCAAGATCACTTTTTTAATATATTTTTTTCATGCAACTAATCAGGCCCACCCAACTCTGGCTGTGGTCACCCCAACCGTACACAACCTGAGCCAAAATGCTGTTTTCAAATAGTGATTTTTTTAATGGTGACTTTTATTTCTGCAAGTCTATTGGCCAACTTTATTAATAAAGACAGAAATCCACTACCACAGACTTCCATAAAAAAGAAGTGACATATAATAAGAAAATATTAAAATGAAGCCTAAAAGACAAGTCAAAATTAAGATGCAGCCCAATGACAACACTAAGATTTAATGTACTGAACTTCAGTACAACGATTTTAAATACACACATCAAATTCAATTTATTTTTGTGGAGAGGGGGAAGTTCCTAGCATTCAAACATCAACCTTTGTAAAACCAGCAATCTAGCTTTAGGAGTCAAATGGAATCAGTCACTGAATGTAACATTTACAGCCAGATCAGAGTTCAGAGGAATAATCTGCAAAAGTGCATTGGCACCTCAGGAACAGGAACTGTGCCTGAGGAAGGCAAGAAGATGATCAAAGGAAAAAGCAAAGTGCTCAGGGAAGGAAAACCCACTGGGGAAAAAAATCCCCAGATTCTGAAGAAATCCCTATGATCAGTTTTTGGTACCATGGAGGAACTTGAGGAGAACTTCTACATGCACCTTGTTGAAGGCTTTACTGCTTCCTTTACACTGGGAGAGGTTACAGAAGAAAGAGTGCCAAAGGAGAAAGACGAGGGCTTTCAGTCCCCAGCTCCAAAAGAAACCAAGTAACTGCAGTGGGAAACTTCTGAGTGAAACCTGCCTCAAGTGACCGGAAGCTGGCAAATGTGACAGCAAGTTCTTGTGGTTTTAGTGGGTGGAAGGACCACTTGTTTTTTAAGAAGAGATTCCAGAGGGAACCAGGGAATTAAAGCCTAAATATATTTTTCTGTATATAGCAAAGTGCCAGAAATTGTTCTAATGCCAAGAAAACAACAGGATAATCATACAGAGCTGCTTTTGCAAAGGAAAATCATGTTTGATAAACATTTTAGAGTTCTTCTAAAGAAGAACTTAAAAGAGATGAGAGTACAGAGATCTAATAATGGTGCATACTTGAAATTCTAAAAGGCATCTGACACATTCCCTTGCCAAAAACTATTAAAGATGCTGTGCTGCCAAAAGAAGTTGCCATATCAGTACATTGTTTAAAGATAGAAGACAAAGAGTATGAATCAGCAGCTGTTCTCCCCTAAGCATGTGCAGTGCCAATAAAACACCACAGTTCCTCTGTCGGGGCAGGCAAAGTATCACCTATTTCTAAGGGTTCTGAGACAGCAGTTTCTGAATGCCACAGTGTAGTCCAGTCAAAGTCACAAAGGGATTAAGGAATTAAAAAATTGCAGAACCATTTCACTGAAGAAATAGGTGTTAAAAGCAGTAAACCAAACTCATTATAGAGATCTGAGAACAATTAATGCTGAAAAAATACAAAAATTCAGACTTTTGTACATATATATTGAAATGAACACCAAGCTGACCATTAATTATTCAGGACTGAGTTATTGTCCTGAAAATATAAGTGCAAAGGTTAGGAAAAAGCAAAACACCTTGGCATCATTTTTGGAAACAATATAAAACAAAACATAAAACAAATTATTTTTTTTAATATATCCACAGTGAATTCTGCAAGAAGTTCTACCTGGTGCTCCTTCCTTGAGAAACTGGAAGAGTACAGCAAAGTTCAACAAAGACAATTTAAGATACAAAAGAGCTCTCCAGCAACAAGCAATTAAAAGAAATATGACTCTTCAGCACAAAACAGAAACAGCTAAGAGAGGCAGGATAAGATAGAGGTCTACAAACTCAAAAGCAAAACAGAGAGAGCACCTGAGGACTGTTTTAATGCCTGCAGGCCTCAACCAGAGCTACCCATTGGTGGATTCAAATATCCCAGTCACAAACTGCTGGAGGTCCCAGAGTGTTCTAAGGTGACACACACCTGATCTGTTACCTACCCTGCACAGTCCCTACTTCCCCTGTCTGAGACATCACACCAGGCCAGACAGAACCAGGATTATGTTACCCAGTTTTCTGTTCTAATTTACCAGTTCAAAGAAAAGGGGAGCAAAAGCTTTTTAAAAGTATGATTTAAAGCTATCAACACTTCAGTCTGGCCCTATGGCAACAGCAATAATAAAAACATGCTATATACTGGAACTTTTTAAAGAAATTACTCTGTGGCATGCTGAGATTCTTCTGACAGCATTATTTCAGGTTTTAATTGCAAACATAAACTAAAAATTCCATTGCTAATAACTTATTTAACAGCTCCCTTACCCAAAAAAAAAAAAAAAAAAAAAGGTAATAATAATTAGGGTCAGAACTTACTAAAAGAAAATTATTTCTAGTTTCTTAGGTTTGGCTTTTGGTCAAGAAATGTCACACAGGGTTTGTTTGTAAAATACCAAGGACGGGTATGGGCAGCAGCCAAGTCACTGACATATTCCTACTTCACTAGTGAAAATGTACCAGCTGTCCTTCCTCACCTTCAGTGCCCTTGGAAAAATTCACATCATCTCTGGCCAACTCCTTCTATCAAGGAAAAACATAATTAGCAATTATATTTTTGGTGCAAAGACACATATGACACATAACAGCGATAACAGGAAGATAAGAACTCGTGGAAGGATTACTTCTAGTGGTATTTTATATTCTAAAGTGAGTAGCACAACCAACTGTAAAATCTCCTGTTCATACACATACTCCTTGTATTATTTCTCAATACATACCTGCAAGAAGCTTGAACATGTATTGTTTTCTGGCACAAAGACAAAATTTCTCAGCTGCACAAATGAAGAAAGAAGAAAATCTCCAACTTTAAAGACTCAGTTATCATCAGTGAGATCTCTTCTTTCTGTATCGTGGTGTGTGCCAAGATGGGAAGCAATTTCAAATGCTGAATCAACATCTGGATCATGATGCAGAGAGCACCAGAGCTAAGAAGTGAAGGTCCTGAAACCACATTCATAGTTTTCTTTAGAGATAATAAAAACATCAATTATCAAAAATTACTCAAGCTCAATAGAAAAGCCTGAGGTCAAACATTTGGTAAGTTTTCAGCAAGACAGGAACACTCAGAATCATTTACAGCAGAATAATTACTCTGCTTCAAAAGTCGCTTTGAATAAAATAAATGGCCATTTTATTGACTATACTCACATACGAGGGAGCATCAACTTAACAGCTGAACTGAGTGCTCATGAAGATACAGAGCAAAACACAAAACACCTTGACTTCGTGCTCTGGAAGTGATACATGTTCTAAACATCTACTGAGTCCTTGTAAAGCGTCTTACAGAGCAAGGTCTGCAGCTGTAGAGTTCAGCAGTGCATGTGCAGCTCAAGCTGAGAATATGACAGGATTAGCAGCTCCAGTGCTGTAGCAATCCTTCAATGGGCATGTACAAGGGACACTGGATTGAGTGAGTGCTGTACATACATTCAGGAATGGAACCGAGGCTTTGACTTTATAAAAACACATTGCATATAATTAAAGCTTCTAAAGGCAATTCAGGTATGCTGAAGATCTAGAAGTTCCTAGCTTTGTAGTGTTAGGTACAAACAAACAAAGCTCAAAGGAAACTCCTTGCTACTTTGTAGGGACTAACTGATAAGAATGCAAAACTACACATTCAAATCTTTGCCCTACTTGAAAAACTTGATGCAATCATACCTGCCACCCAATAAACACGTCTCTGCACTTTATTAACCTTTGTGTAACATGATAATTCAAATAAAATCTCATTCTGTCCCAAATTAGGAAACAGGACTTTATAAAAAAAACAGTGCTTTAAAACTGTATCAATACATTATTAAAGCTACCACTGTATCAAAACCAGATCTTTTTCAAATTGCTTCATACACAGACTTTGTCATACCAAACAGACTTTCAGGCAGCTAATCACACACGTTGCACTTCACTGCTGCTGAATTTCTTCTCTGACTAAATAAGACCAAGTCAATTATGTACATCAATCTTCAAACGATTTCCAACCCTCTCCCTTTATTTAATATATCTTTATATATTACCATCATGACATTAAAGCAGTCATTTATTCAAGGTAGAACTTAGGTCATAAGCTGCAAGCCTCCATCTACAACCAGAACACTCCCTGTAACATATGGGCATTCTAGAAGGAAGACAACAGCTTGTGCAACTTCATGAGGCTCTCCAAATCTTCCAAGGAGAATTGCTTTCTTCAACTGATCTTCTTCCAAATGAGCTGTCATCTCTGTGTGAATGAAGCCTAAGAGCAGAAAGATATATGAAGAGTTACCCAACCTTCGACTAAATTTATCTAGTGGATTTCCCACTGAATATTACAAAGTGAAATCTATTACCAGGATTCTGCACCAGCTACCATTTTTCAAAGTCTCCCAAAGCAGCCTACATCATTTGATGGCCAAAACCACTTTCTTATCTAACCAATAACATACCTTTCATTTTTGGAAGCAGTAATGCAATAACCAAAATGCAGTGATCTATAGAAGTCCATTTAAAAAACCCAAACAAAACCAAACAAGAAAGGGTAACTAAAATTCAATCCAAATACTATATTTAGTAACACTTTTCTGAAAGACAAAATACACTCGTTTCAGCAAAATGTTCTCAATTAAAATATGAGCACAAAATGTCTGGCAAGAAACCTTCTCAGACTTTAGTGTTTGCATTCTATTTTAGAACTCATGGCAGTGCTTGCGTAGTTTCTGTTAGAGCACTCACTTGAAGAATATTTCTTGACATTTTTGAAGGACCTTTTTTACAGTTTTCCATTATCTGAGATTTGGCTTTCCCACTGCTGCACAACTCTACAACAAGCTGCAGCTTTACAAAGAGCTGATCTTACCTGCTTTCTAGCTGCCATCAAGAAGGGAAAGCCTCCCTTTTGCTTTCTACTGTAATACTCTGCCCCTTCATGATGGCTCTGGATGAGCTGCTCAACTCACTAAAGAATAAAAGTACTTTCCTGCCTAGTTCACAAGCTGAACAGGTTCATGTAGAATTCTGAAAGGCATCAGAGGTAGTAGAAGGTAAGCAGCAGTGTACACAGTTATGAGTGGAAAAATTCAGAAAATATAGGAGGGATTTTTCCTTAAGGGTGGCAGTTTGCTTGAACTAGATCATCTTAGGAAATCACAGCCTTTACTCACAAAAATAACTTTCAGGATTCCCTCCTTTTACTACAGGGAGACAGGGGTGCTTTTATGACAGCTTTCTCATGGTCTGTCACGTTTCCCTAATATCAAACAAGCATCCTCTAGCTGGAGACAAGGGTAGCTCTCCATCTCTAAGTAGATCTAATCCTTCCATCTGCAAGGACAGCGAGTTTTGAAGAAGGATCAAAGAAAAAAAACTACATTCATTACGTAATAATGGACAGAAGAATAGGTAGACTCACTCTTCCAAATTTCTTGGTGTTCTCTTGAAAAGACTGAAGGTTTTCTGAAATAATGTATTATACTTTAAACAAACAAACAGAAGATATTAAAAATATTTACTTACAAAGCTGAAGAAAATAACAGAGATTAGTCTTAAGTTACTTTCAGAGTACAAGAAAGATCCACAGTCTTAATCAATTGCAACAGTCAAGGATGCAGGAATTCCTCAAAAACTAACCTGGAGCAACAACGTTGACCCGAATTTGCTTTTTTGCTACTTCTTTAGCAAGAGAGCGTGAAAATCCAACTAATCCTGCTTTGGTAGCACTATACACACTTTGACCAGAGTTGCCTTTAAGTCCTACAATACTCCCTAAAATAAAGAAACATCAAAGAGAAGATTAAATGGGTAACTTGAAACATTGTACTAACTTTATCATTTTAGTTCTAAACTTGGAATGAAAAATGTGATGACAAGAGTAAAATATGCGTGACTTTATGCACTTCAGCCTGCTAGGATAAGCAAATCTCCCAATTAGCTGTGATTTTTTTACAATTCATGTATCTATGTTGACCAACAAGCACCAGGAGAGTAAAATTAAGACTTTTCTAAAAAAAAAAGTATCCTTGCCCAGATTAAAGAAAGAAAGAAAGAAAGAAAGAAAGGGACTGAACCTATCAATTCCTAGTTAATCAGCTGGTATATATAGATATTGAAAGAACTGGTAAGAATAGCAAAGTTTCTTTTTTCAATAAAATATAAGCTCTGAGGTGTTTATTACTCAAAAAAGCTATTTAGAAGTTGATGAAATTACACAAAAGAATAAGCATTCATAAAGAAATGCTAAAGATAGAATGTCTAAATACAAGGAAAAGGAAAACAAGTAAATTGTAACAAGCAATGTAATATGTTACACCTGCTAAACACTTCTAGAAGACCAGTACACAGAACTTCACTGGCTTGCACAAGCAGCTTACCTATATTGACAATAGCACCTCCCTGCTGCTGAATCATGACCTTTAGAGCAGCCTTGCATGTCAACATTGTTCCCAAAAGGTTAGTGTGAATCTGGGCTATCATATCTTCAGTCTTGGTTCTCAGTAGCAAACCATCCCTGACAAACAAACCAAAAAAACCCAAAGAATTCACTGAACACCCTCCTGATCATGTTTACTCATAAAGAAAAGACTGTTGGACAGAATTGGGCTGTATGTGGCTCCATACATTCGAGCATTTAAAATGACAATGCTGCAAGAACTACACACAGCAAAAAAAACCAAGTTAGCCATGCTTCTGGACACAGAGCCTCCTGTGCAGAGTGGTAATAAGCACTGTTTCGGACCATTCCAGGGGAAAAAGTGGAAGAAAGAATAGAGGGGGAAGTCAAACTCAGAATGCAGAAACTACAGTGAAAGCTGTATCATCTGTTAGCATTTTACTGCCATCAGAAACAAAATATTGGCAAGCACTTTAATATTGTTTTCAGATGTGCTCATTAGCAACACTCTTCCTAAGCACAAAGGGCCAGAGCACCTTACAGTGAGCTGCCTTCATCTAGAATTACCCAGTCTTGTAAGGAGTAACCAACCTGTTGATCCCAGCTGCATTAACCAAGTAGTTAATAGGACCCAAATTCCTCTGCATCTCCTCAAAAGCCTTTTGGACTTCTTTTTCACTGGATACATCACAGCTAAGTGCCAGATGTCCTGCTGTATTGAAATATATATAACGTCACAATAAAAGCTGTATTTAATTCATAAACCTTCTTCAGAATGCATCAGCTCAGTTGAAAAACAGATGTTGAACTAGTTATAATTTAAGGAACCTATTTAATCCCCAGGCAATTAAATAAAGACTATTTTCAAGTATTGTATTCATTAGTTATGCGACAATTCCTTCTCTTATATTTTTTGCCTTTTGGAGCCAAAAGTTCAGCATGAGCAGACTGGTCTCAGTTCTGGCTACTTCAGGAGCTGAGGATAACTCAACACCACCTCTGTTGTGACCCCAAACAATTCCATTCATCTTAAAATTCCCATCATACAGATAAAAAAGATAATCTACTTTCTCAATAAGTATTGTGAAAATAGAATTGTACCAATATAGCTGGTTTTTAGTATTTCTCAGCCTTTATTTTGCTTTCCATCTAGTTAAACAAGGAGGGGTTTTTGAGGACTCGCTGCTTTCACCAGTCAGCCAAGCAGGGAGCAGTGAGGAGATGAGTGCACAGCAGCATACGTACCCCCAAGGTCACGGGCAGTGCTCTGGGCCACGTCCAGGTTCCTAGCAATGATGGCCAGGCGGCAGCCCTTCTGTGCCAGCAGCTCTGCCACAGCTCTGCCGATGCCACGGGATCCTCCAAAAACAGCACACACCTTGCTCATCTTCAAAAGAATTCATAAATTGCAAATAAACCATCAACTTCATGTCCAGTGGAGCAAGACATTAACTGCTGCTCTTGTCAACATCACAGCCTTTACCTGTTTGTAATAGTGGGTTACAAAATTAGTGATTTGGTTTTTATTCATTCGTTTGTGTTCATTTTTTATTCAAAATAAGCAGCTGAACTAAATTAGATGCCACCTCTACACATGAAAGTTAATTCTTAAACATTTATGAACTAGTAAAAAATTTTAAAAATCACACACATAATCTAGCATTCCAATAGTAGAGTTATGGCAACTCTTATTCAGTTGATGAATTATGTGATTTAGGTACCTAAAGGCCATAATGTATTGTTCAGCTGCTTATTCAAGGCTGATGTACTGGTTGTAATTATATTGCTCTTGCAATCACCATCCTTGTGCTGAGGTCATTTAGCCTCAAGGTCTCACTCCATCGAAAGTATCTGTGTTGGACACCGCCAGTGCAAATGTCACTGAGTATGATTTGAAACTATTGCATTTACACTGCTTTAATAATGTCTAAAAACCCCACTAGCCTGGGGTTTTTTGTTTCTGCTTTTGAAGGAAGAAAAAAAGCTTTTTGAAATACGAAATGATTCTGAAGTAGCTAGCTTTGATGTTTAAAATGGAGTACACAAAGAAAGTACTTCTGCAGATGATCTTTTATTCTGCAAGCTTTAGAAACCAACCAGCTGTTTTGGGATTTCCTGAGGAGACAGAAGCAGAATCAAGCAGTAACAATGAATCTTTTTTCCATACATTTGAATAAATCCTTTTTGAACCCAATTATACTGTCTTCATCCCGAGGCAATGAGTTTTATTATTTGTGGAAAAGTACTTCCTTTTGTTCTTAATTTGCTTTCTGATTAGATAATTCTATGCATTTCTCCTCATACCTACCCATCACTGTTTCACTCTCCACCTGTATCCTCTTTCAGGTCTATTCAGTCACTTCTACACATATGGAAGCTATTCAATACATCACTAAAGAGTGTCCGAGTCCCTAGACCTTACCCTTGGCCTCAGTGAGGTTTATTAAACCCTTCTGGATGAGTGACAATCAGAAAAGCACCTGGTGCTAAGTGTACCAGGCCACCACAAACTCATGCAGTGGCATGAGGATTTTGGTCTTCTGTGACAGAGTCCGAACAAGCAGACGGTCTGTCCTCTTCCCTAAGTATTCACAAGTGCCTGAAACCAACCCGCAAGTGTCTGAAACTAACCCTGGCAAGTTCTTGGAGCAATGAAAGCCCCTTGTGCACTAACCAGGCATTCACAGGTGGGGCACAGGGCCCACCTGCAACGCAGTAATGCAGAGTTTGTGCTTTAACAAGAAACGCCATACAGGGTGCCTAGAGCCGCAGCAGGAGAAATGACCTGCTGTTCCCTGGATAAATAACGGCAGGGAAAACCAGGTATACTTGGAGCAACAGGCACACGCAGGCACCTGTATCACCTTCGCTCTTCTTTCAGAGCCAAACTATGTAACGTGTGACCCCGGGGCTCCGATGGCAGCACCCCACGGCGCTCGGCTGCCAGCCCAAGGAGGGCACCTTTAAACAAGGGCGAGCGGGTTTCCCGTAGCCGTGCCCGGCCCGGCGCCTCCCTCCTTCCCCCTGCGTCCGTGCCGGCGGCGGGGCTGGGCTGGGCTCCCGCCCGGGCCCGGCTGCAGGTGGAGCCCTCGGCACGGACAGCGGGAAGCGGCGCAGGGGGCCCGCGGGGCACGCCGGGACGCGCAGTCCGCGCGCGCCGCCGGTGCCAGGGTGGCAGCGCGGCCGCTCCGCGCCGTCCCTGCGTGTTCCCGCGGCCGCCCCGCGCTGTCTCTCCGTTCCCCCCCGCCCCGAGCCAGGCGCGGGCTGCGCCCGCCGCCCCGCCACGGGCACAGGAGCAGAAGGCGAGGACGCGTTCCACGTGCACTCCGGTACCTCCCGGCCGCCGGCTCGCTTCCCTCACGGAGCGCGGTTCCCTTCCCGGGCAGGCCGGTTCCGCTCCGCGCTGAGCGCATGCGTCACGGCGAGCGGCGTGACGTCACCGGCGGGTCCCGGCGGCTGAAGGAGCCGGGGCGGCGCGCCCGGGGCTCTGCGGCCTGAGGGGCCGGCCCGGGCCCTGCGCTTACCGCCCGCGTCCTCCGCGCTCGCACACGGGCAGCCCCTCCGCTTTCACCGTGCGCTTGTCGCTTTGAAACTCCGTTTTACAGCGTCCGGCGTGGAGCTGAGAGCAGCCCTGGTTACCCTCTTCCTGCACAAAAATGTGCTTCATATACAGATACAAGCAGTTAGATGAATCAGGGGTTTGTTTCTCTCATTTGCATGTATCCTTGCCCCAAAATCCCAAGGGTCTTGTATGAGGCATCACTGTACCACGAGAGTTACATTTCCAACACGTTAAAGCCGATAAGCCCAAAATACAGAAGAATCTATGAGATTCCTATTCAGGAACCAAAGCAAACTTCATGATATGCAATTAAACTATTATTAAAAATAACTATTCTGTTGTAACAGTAATGCTGTTTACAGTTATGATCCATGTCTGATATGTGCTGGAGAGGTTTCTGTGGACTCTTAATTAAGTCACACACACTGAATAAATTTTACCCCCTGAGGAATACTAATAAAAGCTATGACAATTTTGTACAAGAATACATTTGGGATTTTTTTTTTTTGAGAAAAATTATTAATTGTTATTATTTTCCACAGAGTAATATGCTGAAATCCTACTGGAGTTTCTATGAACAAGCATACTGTTCTTGCTTTTGAGTTGAAAGGTGTTTTTCAGAATTTCAGATTATACATGTTTCAGGGGAGCTGTAGAGCATTTAATAACTTTAGTTCTATGCATGTGGGATTCTTCTTTCATAGATTAGTCTTTACATACAGAAGAAAAAACAGATTTAGGTATTGGCAAACAGGTGAACATCTGTAAGAAAAATAAAATTTTGAAGAAAAGCTATGATGAGAATTAGTTTCTTTTAGCAAGTATATTTAGATTGCAAGCAGCTCTTTTCAAAAGAGTGAATGAGATTTTGTGATACAATGACGTTTCTGACCATGCCATATTCTGAAAGCTTGGAGGTCCCTGTGATGAAGAAGAAAAGGCACTGACAGATGAGACTGTGGCTCAAAATAGCCTCTGACCAAAACTTTTGGTACCTGGCATAATTAAGGACCAGGATAGCTTTTTCTTCAAGTGAAGCTTATAAGCAAAGTAACACAGAGTGCAAAAAAAATGGTCCTTAGTGATGTTCTCTGAAGATGTGTATGCTACAGAGAAGATAAAATCTGCCCGCTGCTGTCCTTATACAATATGATGCTCATAGTTAAGTGAAAAAAATATAAGTAATTACCTTATTTCTGACCTGGGTCCTCAGCCATACAGCTGACCTACTCTTGTAAGAAAGTTAAAGACTAATCTGTCCTGTACTGTTAAGATTTTGCTGACACAGAGTAAGCATGAGGTAAGTGTGGGGGTTTTAAAGTGTGTTATAGTTGACAAAGTTAAATATCCTTTCAAAAGTTCAGATAGATTCTGTTTAATTCTTGTTCATTAACTTAGTGTTTAAAACCAGATGTATGTTCATTCATTGGCCAAAGTGACATTAGCTTTTTTTTTTTTTTCCAGATGCCTAGTTAAATCATGAGATCAGATTAAGCAGAGTTCCTCTGAGCTGTTTATTCACACTGATTTCCCAATAAAGCTAGTGCAGTGCAAGAGACAGATCAGTGTCATAATGATTCCCTTTTGGGGGAACAGTAGCTGATACAAGAACCTGATCTGATAGACCTGTTCCATCTATCATGACCAGATCTGTAGCAGCTAGTTCAATACTGGTCATTATTATGCCTGCCTTACTATTAATGTGAACATATAATAAGCTAATAATTCTTGTATGTCTGTCTGTGTGACCGTGTATCACACACTTGGAACCTATCCACAATGTACAAAATGATGCAGCTGTCTCCTCAAGCCTAAAGCATTCAGACATTAAAAATACTCTTCCTTAGAGAGTTATATTTCCCTTTCTTTAAATATTTTAGTCATTCTCCCACACAACCAAGATACTGCTTTCAAGTAAGAATTTCTCTATTAACATGGGAACAAACAGAATAGTCACAAACAGGAAATGATGTTTGATATATCTAAAAGCACGAAACGCAAATCAGAGCAAAATAGCACAAAGCAGCATTTTCATAGCGTTCCCTGTACTGCTTGTGAAAGCATACCTCCCATATTACATGGGTTTTGTGTAAGGCCTGGAACAAAGCAACTGGAGAACTGGCTGCGTGTGTGCTCAGTCCTGTTGGAAACAAACACCTGCTGGTTGGAGCACTCAGCTCTGAGAAAACCTGCTTTCATGTCTCCTCCCTTGCTGGAAACATGGTCACTAACTTCAGTTTTTCACCACTGTACAAGCTTGTCATAGCTAGCAGTCTGGAGTGATTTCAGTTTGTAGGAACAAGAACAAAAAGTTAAAGTGGGCCAAGAGATTTGACACTCGAGCCAGATGATCACTGTCCGGAAATATAAACCCTTGCGGATTGAGCATCAGTTGAAATCACCATTCAAGAAACTACTTTGCTTTTCAACTGGTGTAATAAAGATCACCTCCCTAGCTTAAGCAAATCTCATGATGGAGGCATGTATCTGGGATACAGGAGTCATGGGCCTAGAACAGAATTAAGCCAGGGAACAGCTTAAGAGGTTTCCTTCTTTCCAGGTCAAATGATAACTCCGTCACAGGGCACAGTCAACACACTGCCGTACATTTCTTCCTGGAAAAAAAAAAAAAGGGGAATAACCTAGAGTTAGGGTTTTGAACGCCACAAAGCCCAGGGCTCCAGGCACGCTGCAGCTGCAAAGGGCATCCCAAGGGGAACACAAAACTGCCACCACATGCCTTCCTTCACTGCTTTTTCCCTGGAACCAGCCCTAGCCCTAGGCAGGAAAAGCAGCCTAGGGCTAGGTTTAGGGTTGCGCCTAATTTTCTATTTTGCCTGGACAGCTCAGCACTGAATCTGCTGTCTCTTTTTTTTTTTCTCCTTTCTTTAGCAATGCCCTTGTCATTTACCTTGGGAAATATCCTATCTAGTTACTAATTTTATACGTATATATATATATATATGCTGTATGCCACATAAAAAATATATAAATAAAGAACCGCCAAGTTTTATGTTGCAGTTCCCAAATTGGCCTCAGCCTTCTAGGGAAGTGACACAAAGCTGAGATAGACTGCCAAGGAAGAATCCAACTGCTTTATTGTGCAACAGGAAAAAAACAGCCCTCTCCTGTCAGTATTTTGCCACTTGGCAGACCTTCCCCAACCACAGCAGTTCAGATATTTAAGTGGCCAAATTGCCACACCTTTGCTCTTAAGTGATCTTTTCTTATGACTCTGCAGTCGGTTTTGTTTTTCTAGACCATGCAAAATCTCTGCAATATTTATTCTTGTGTGATAACAGTGAACTTTTATCATGCCAACATGAAATGGTTTTATACAGTTTTGGTACCTTTTCAAAAAATTGAAAACTTCTTCCTCTTAAGAAATTTCTTTCTGGTACCTCCGTGTAAAGTCTGAAAGCTCTGTGAAAACTCTAACAACAAAACACAGCACCAAAGCCCAGAACAAAACAAAGCTATCAGAACCTTGGCAAATTACCTAATGTTTTCATATTTTCCTGGCTAAACAGGTTTTGCCACTAGGACCAGGATTATTTCACACGTCAGCGTGAGGCCCATGTTTGAGTTAGCACGGTCACTGAACTGCTGCTGCTCGCAGTGAGCAGTCAGGCACACCATGGAGGGAACAGAGAGGAGCTGGTATTACTGCTGCTTCATCTGCTGCTAAAATGGAACACCTCTCTTCCAGTGCTGACACATTATAATAAAACAACCCCAACGTTACCCACGCCTGCAAAGCTACCTTCAAGAAACATTTGTCACACATTCAGCCTCTGTCCACAAGTCCTGTCTGATCGCAGACACTGGACACTCCCAGTGTGTATCAGTGGACAAAAGAGATGGAATCTAGGATCTCAGCATGTCCTGAAATCTCATACTTCCCTCCATGCATCCCACTCCTTATGTATGCCACAGAGTGTATCTGTTTTTAGTTCCTAAGTCCCAGGCCAGGACTAGGAACAAGGAAGAAATAACCAGCTCAGCCATCAAGGGACTAAACTCACCACTTTCTGTACAGCACCTCTTCGAAAGACAGTTTTTCAAAACCACAAAGTGCATCACACAGAGCAGTCAGCATCTCCCAGCAGGGCAGTCTGGAAAGCAGTCAAAGCTGACACCACCACAGAATGACATGTCACTCCCAGCAGTCTCCACTGACCATTTTGTATAGAAAGGATGGGTTTTTTTGTGTATTGCATATTTCATAAGCGTCAAGAATATCACTGAGATTCTAGTACAATAATATCCAAGACTTTTGCAGAAGTATTTGAATACTCCTGAGTAAATAACTCTCTTCCTGTTCTCTTAGAGGCAATTTACTTTAATTATATCTAATATACTTAAAATTAAGTAGTCTCAGGAACAGCACTTAAAAATAGCTAAAAACTGTTTATAAACATCTACTCAAGGTCTTGCACAATTTGCTTTTATTTTACATATGAACATCCTTAACGTCCCCATTTTGCCTTTCATAGTCTCATCCATATTCCCATTCACTACACATTTATATAATTTGCAAAGTAAGATTCATAGCAAATCATTTCAAGAATTAATTTATTTTGTAAAAATCAGTCTAACTAATACTACAATTTCTGATTTAAAAAAAGAGTATTTTGAGAATTATTCATCAGCAAAGGTTTTCACTCCAGAACATACAAAAATCTGCTCTCAACATTAGGATTAACAGAAAACAGTTTTGTCTAACCAGACAAAATTTCCTTCCTGCTATGATGGAGAAAGTGTCAAGGTTTTCCTGCCATAATACATCACTAATCATAGTCTCAGGTGTCTCAGGTGTCTAATCTCCTTGAATGGTATGGGCAAATC